TCAGCAATACTACCAAGAACACTGCAGTGATGTTCTAAGCAAACAAGCTGAACAATGGGTCTTTGATCCTTTGGCAAGTTCCTAACAAAGCTCAATTGATCTATGCCTACAAGCCAGCTAGTGCCCTATGAGTACCAACTACAGCTGCAACAAATCCAGCATCTGAGCTGAGAAGCAGCATTTTCATAAAGCTACAGAAGCACAAGAATAATGCAATGAGAACATGCACTCCAAACCATCAAGATTAAATAAGTCGAGTGTGGCTTCCTCTCTAATATTGGAGAAAGGAAAACATCTTTTAGCATGTCTGAGCTAACAGCACTATTAGCATAATGATTAAACTCTGCTTGGATCTCTGCTAACAATCAGTAAAATTTCATCCCGTGTTCCTTCTCCCTATCTTCAAGGGAAGAGACAAAGTATTTAAACATGCTCAAAACCCAGTTCAAGTTATTGTCCTCAGTGGGAACTGAAACCCTTAGGAAATAACCCTGTATAAGCAGTTGTAATGGTACAACTGCACCATGATCATTTCCTTCAGAGAAGGGACAAGGTTTAGCCTTAAAGCAGAACAGAAGCACCGCAGAGCTAGATGGAATCATGTACTCTTAATGTTCAAGAAGAAAGGCAGTCTGAGCAAGTCTGTATTACAGAGAACTGGACTTACCCTCCTTAACACTGAGTGTGGGAGTTAGCTTCACATGCTCTTTGCTGAGCTCTGCCAAAAGCTTGGGTGAAATAGTGAGATAGTCACAGCCTGTGAGCGCTTTGATTTCTCCTGTATTTCGAAATGAAGCACCCATCACAATGGTTTTGTAGCCAAACTTTTTGTAGTAATTATAGATCTTAGTGACACTCTTCACTCCTAAAGAGGAGAAATGGGTGACTTTCAGAAGGCTTCAATTGAATTGTAAGTGGTTATGAGTTAGGGGGTGAAGGGTAAACACGGGCCAGCTGTAAAGGAAGACAAGACAAAAGAACATAGCAAGCAGGATGTGCAGTAAATAAGGGTTACCAACTGCATAGGAATGCGAGTAAAGAGAGGACAAGGAACAGGTCAGACGGATTCCTTCAGTTGAAGACAATGAGCCTTCATCCCATGACCACCAGAAGAGCCCCACTGCCCACGTGCAAGAGGGAGTCAGGGTATGCTGGTGGGTTCTCAGAAATGAAACAATATGCATACGAATTCCACGGAAAACACGGATTATGGATTTGTTTGGCCTACATCTGTAGCAAGCTTTTGTCCTACGGATGCGAGTTCGGAGGAGGGTCCCCCTGCACCCAGCTTGGCGCCAGATGCTGGATAAAACATGCCTGCTTTATAGCCTAACTCTGGGTTACACAGAGTTTGATTCTGTGAATTGGTTATCTATAACATACAGATAGAAACCATTTGATTCACAAGAGGATTTTTAAAGTTAATTAAAACTTGAACATATAGCTATTGCATTCAAAAACAAGAAAAGCTAACCTGGATCTTCCGAAGGTTCATAGGTTTTCTTATCTCCATTAGCAAGATGCCAATCCAGGATGCGTCCTACAAATGGGGAGATCAGAGTAACCCCAGCTTCAGCACAGGCGACTGCCTGAGCAAAGGAGAACAGCAAGGTCATGTTGCAATGAATCCCGTACTCTGCTTCCAGAACCCTGCAGACATAGGCTGGCTTTAAATGGCAGTTTGCTCACCTGCTGTACATTCTAGCAGTAAGTTAATAGGTTAACCTACCGATTCCTCAACTTACATTAGAGATATGGTACAGCTTACATGCTTTAAAGCTCAAAGGTAGCAGAACAAAGTTTTACACTGCCAGGCTCCCAGTGATCTACTGAATGTTTTTCATCGAACCAAGTGCAGATGGCCGAATGTGACATTCTGGGAAGCTTCTTATGAACACCCTGCCCCTCGCGTGAACAAACTTTTCCTAATGAACAGAAAGCTCTAGTATGCCACTATGCTTACTGCACACCTAGCAACAGGCTTCCTGGTGCTGTGCTTTCAAAACAGCTCTTTATTTTAAGTGTAGAACGTGTTTGTCAAGTGCCTGTGAATAGCCAGAAGCATGCTATGAATCAGCACACTAGGTATAGAAGTACTTACTTGCCAGCCTGAATTCCTTCCCATGTTGAAGAAAGCTTTATGAGAATCCGATCTTTACCAATTCCTGCTTCCTTATAAAGGTCAATCAGACGCCTGGCCCTCTGAATCATTCCTTCTTTATCAAAAGACAACCTTCGGAACAAGAACAAGGCTTCTTCAAAGCTGTGCTTTTTTTTTTTTTTTTTTTTTACTTTTTAATAGCCCTCTCCAAAAGAAGTAACATCCAGAACAATTGTCCTGTTTTGTCACAATTTATGTTCTAGTAGCAGGGTTTTTTCTTGGAGATGCTTCCTTGAACATAAGCCTGACAAGGAGCACTGTGACAACACTGCTGGTGTTTGATTCAGAGAATTCAGAGCTCAATGTTACTTTCCATAAGAAAGCTATGGACTAAAACTTTTAAAACTTTTCTCAAGTTTTCCATAATGAATGTAGAAACTGAGCATTAAAGGTGACTTGACAAGGAGCAGGCAAATCCTACTTCTAAATAAACCGCCTGAACTGGTCTCTTGGAAATTGAGGGCAACGTCACACAGAAGAGAACGAACAAAGCTCTACGTATCATAGAACGGCTTGGGTTGGAAGGGACCCCAAGGATCATCAAGTTCCAGCCCCTTGTCACATGCAGGGCCACCAATCTCCACTTCATACTAGACCAGGCTGCCCAGGGCACCATACAGCCTAACCTTGAACACCTCCAGGGACATGTACTGGAAGCACGAGATTTCCCTTGTTTAAGGAACAGTATGAATACAACAAAGATCAGATCTGTGTCACCAAGTTAAAACAAGTAAATGAACTGCACTTCATTCTCTTAAATATTAACAGTACAAACCCCTGCTAGCCTTGTAACATTGAGCTGTCCAGACAAGAATGGATTTCTTCAACTCTATTGCATCTCTCTTTGTATGTACCAAGATCTAGGGTAACCCATAGGAAAGGAGCCAACCTTGCATCTACTTCTGTGGACACACGGCCAGGTATCCTCTTCAATATTTCAGCTCCGAACAATACAAAAAGTTTGTCACAAGCATTTTGGATTTGCTCATCTTCTGACCTAAAAACCATGGGAGGAAAAAAAAAAAAAAAAAAAAGTGCATTCAAGCCTTGCCATTGATTTAAAGATCAAATTTCACAGCCCATTTAGCATTAAATTCCTGTGCTCAAATGTGCATTGAGCAGAAGTGGTTGTGTTCTGCCTCTGGAGAAAGGTATACAAGCAGACGAGCGGAAAACCCACTGTGTTGCTAGGATTACAAAACACTACTTGCATTAATAAAGTGTCTTAACTTCTTCTCAGTAGGTGTATATTTAAAAAACAAACAAAAACCTCAACTCTTGACTTACCCCCCAAGTTTTTTTCCATATGCAACCGCATCATCCACAAGTTTCTGGTATGCAGGCATCTGAGCAGCAGCCAGTATCAGAGATGGGTTTGTGGTGGCATCCAGGGGCTTGTACTCATCGATTGCTAAGGAAATCGAGATGGCTTGTTGGAAATGATCAGTTGGCCTGAATGATTCAAAGCATTTTGCTCAGGTGTGTAAAAACGGAAACCCTCTTCCATAATCAGGTTTGCCAGCATGGCTGAATTCCAGGAATCACAGGGGGAAGGAAAGGCAAGGGAATCTCACTTCCCTCCGTGGGCAGACATTTGGATTTCTGTTTGTCCACAACTGTTAGAGCCAGAACAAAAGTAAAACCCATCTCTTAGAACATCTGCTAGAGCCTTACTGCACTGCAGAAATTTGAGTAGTTGAGGACAACTTCCTGGTGTCGGCTCTGTGATTTTCTTGTACTGCTTCCTTCCTTCCAAGTGTCCCACAGGACATCAGGCTGCTGGGCTCACCTGGGCCCCGCACTACGCCTATTTCGGTGATACAGCTGTTTGCCAAGGCGGGCTGTGACCACGCGCTGTCAGGCCCTAATCACAGCTGAGCTCCTGGCACGCAGGGCTGACTCAGCACTGGGCCTCTGCAAGCCCTGCAGCTACTTTACTTTTCTAGAAGTAAAAGAAAATAGCGTGTTTTTCCATAGCTTCTCCCTAAGAAACAATTGTGATCCCACAGCTGCTCCGTTCCATACAAACAGGACACACTTCAACTCACACCAACTGCTTGCAGTAAAGCAGCGCGCTGATAAAAGCAGCAAAAAAACAGATACGCGACTTTAGAGAAGTATTCCAGTGTGTAGCAAGGACATACCAGCAGGGACACGGCCACGGCACGGGTAAAAAACAACACCATCAACTGCGTTAGCCACAAAGGCAACTTCCCCGCCCCCCCCCCCTCACCGTTGAAATCCCCGGTGTCGGCCACCACCGTAGTGTGGTGCTTCAGCTGCTCCAGCGCCGACTCCATCTTCTGCCGCTTCACGGGAGATACCGACATAACTCCAAAGACTGGAGGTGCTGTGACCGCCTTAAACGAACACTGCGTGCCCGAGGGGAACCTGCCTGCGCGCGCACCCGCCGCTCGCTCCCGACACCCTCGGCTCGGGGGAGGGCGCGCCGCCCGCCCCGCCCAATCCCGTCTCGGGTGGGGTTGCTGAGAGCCAATCGGCGGCGCGGGGACAAGACGGACGGCAGGCAGGTGGCGAGCGGAGGAAGGAAGCTCCTCATTGGGTGGCTTGGCGACTGAGGAAGAGCGCGGATTGGCCACCTTGGTGACGTGAGGTGCCGCTTGGTGCGATCCCACTGCGGACGTCATTGATGAGGGTGTTAATCATCAGTGAGCCTAGCAGGGAGCCCTGCGGCAAACCGCTCGTCCCTGGTCTCCATACGGAGGCTGAGCTGCGTATCCCAGACCCACAGCCACAAGCCGTGAGGAAAAGCCAGCTCTTAACAACACTTTCTCGAGCTCTGTTGCTTACTTTGCTATCCAAAAGCAAGAGACAGAGATGAAGTTATAACTTAACTATTTTAATAAATCTTATACAGTGCATGGTTATATTATTTTCTCCTTCGTTCAATGTACAGTGCATTACAGCATTATTTGCAGGCAGTACAAATAGAGCAGGTGCACCGCTCAGTCACGTGGGAAGTTCTAAAAGTGACCCCCAGTGAGGCTTACAGACACTTTTATTGAAAGAAATGCTCCCGTAGCTACCAGCTGGTGCATACGCTTCCATTCCAATCCCAAGTAACTGTAATTCTGCTGATTCTGTGCAACCTCATACACAAACACAAGAATGGTGCTGTGTTCCCAAGCTCACTGCTCACTTTTAATTGCAGAGTTGATTGGCCTCCTGTGCTTGTACTGCCAATGGCTCGCCAGTGTTCACTCCTGCTTCTCATCTCCACCAAATCCAAAGCCCGGGCTTCTCAGGAGGATTGTTCTCTTCATCGCTCCCTTTGCAAATTCCAGCCTTTTCAGAAGCCTTGAAGCTCCCTGCCTGCACCCCGGTTCTGCCGATGCTAACAACGTCCAATTCAAAGACGAAGAAAACAAATAATCCATTGGGAACATTTTTGGAAGATCTAAGCCAAAGTCATTGGTATTCTCACATTGAGTCATCTGTCCCCCAGCCACCTGCATGGCTTTTTTCCACTACATGAGCAAGCACGGGCCCAAACCATGCCAAGGCATTCACCTTTCAGGGGGTGGTTGTGCTCTGTGGAGGAAGTGAGACCATCCACAGCACCTAAAGGAGAGCATGCGAATGGGGCTCTGTGCTGTCTGGGCCTGAACCCATCCAGCCAGTTAGTGTGAGTGAGAAAGGCAAGGCATTCCCCATCATACTTGTTTTAGTGCATTCTTTGCAAGATTGTCTGTCAGTAAAATACAGATATGAATACGGTGAGTTCACCTTGCTGAGGGCAGGAAATCTGTTATATGCTTGTTTGAGCTTTTAAAACCTTGAGTAAGTTACTGATGCACAATCACTTGATTATATCTAGGAAAAGGGATTTTTTCCCTCATCCCTATTTGTAGATTGTAGGAGTGAGGGAACATTTCACTAGAAAGATGCATATATATGCACATAACATTAATAAGAGAAAGAAGAATTGAAGAACAGCAGCATCTACTAAATCAGAGTTCTTTCTTTTCTTTTCCTGATTTTACTGATTTTTACTGATACTAAAACAGCCATTCCTTATTAGGAAACATCTCAGATTACTCTCTGCAATGAAAACATGAAGGTGAAGGTGAGTGGTGACCACCCTGGGAATGGCTTTGGGTGTGAGCAAGCAGCAGGGGCTTATCTTCTCCTTATTTGAGGCCTGGCTTTGGCAACGCTGCAGCTTTCTGGCCCAGGATCAGTGCCAAGGTGAAGGGCTGAGAGCCCCAGCCTCTGGTAAGCAGGGATGATCAGGCTGAGCTCACCTATTTGCAGATTCAAATCCCTTCAAAGCCCATTTCCACTGCTGGAAGGCAGCACTCAGGGGTACGGGTATTTAAGGAAGCAGCCCAGTCTTAGGTAAGGCGTGTTGCAATTCTAACCTGGTCCAACGAGAGGGCATGTGAGGACATAAAGGACTGGGAGCTAACACTGAGCCCTTGCTGGTGGGCTGCAGGGGGTGTGTGCCACCGAGAAGGACAGGAAAGTGGGGGAAAGGAACTATTTCTGTGGCCCAAACTCCTCTAAGCATTCAGGCTGACTTGTTCTGTGCCAGGTGCTGTGCCCTCTGCTCCCAAGGGGACTGGGAGCACAGACAACCCTGCTTCAAAAGCTCTGTTTTGTTTTGTTTTCTTGAATCCAGCCATTGTCATACATTCATACCCGTGTGAATCCTCATCTGTTCTGATCACATGCACATACAATTTCAGTATAAAATATATAGATATAGATATACATATATATATATATAAAAACTTCATGCAACATTAAAACACCTTTCCCAACGGGATTTGGTCTTAGTGTCTATCCTTATCAACAGTGTTTGAGGAATTGTCCCTTTGATGGCAATTACACTGCTAACTGTGGAGCACTGCTGTCTCTTGTCTAGACTGGGGATCATTGCTTTAATTCCCTTTTTCTGCATTACTACAACTAATAGCTGAAAGAAAGCAGATAGATTTTAATTAGCAGAATCAATCCTCTCCTGGCGACGCTTCATAATTTCTTGGAGCTCTGTCTCTCCTCTGTTTTTCTGGAATGGAAACAAAAAAAGGAAGTTTGAATTTTAACTTCAAACTGTGGTTTAGAATTATAATATCTAATTCCAGAAGAGCAAGTATCAAAGGGAACAGCAAAAAGGTGGACTCTACAGTGGAGACAGTGATCTGCCTTACAGATTTGGGACCCTTCTGCTTAAAGGATTTCTCATCATTTTTAGTGCTGATTTGGTTGGTTGCTTGCTTTTTTGACTTTGTCTTTTTTTAAATTGTACTCTTAAAATGCTTGTTTAATGGGACATCCAACACTGCTGATACAGGCATCCTTTTGCCCAGACAGCTGCTTACCTCCAGCTGGTTTTTTTCCACCGTGATTTTACTGTACACTCGGTTACCCTCATCACCACACACTTTTTTCAGCTCCTCTCTGTTCAGGGAGAAAAGCTGCGCTCCAGTAAGGATGCCAAGGTGTTCCACCGTCCTGGGAAGACACAAAATCAGTATTAAAACCAGTGCCATGTGTGGTCTTCACCAGTGAAGGATGTGCGTTGGGCTGTGAGTTGTGAAGATCAGCGAGACGCTGGCTTTGTTTGCAGCTGCTGTTAGATCTACTCTCTGTACTGTAAGATGGTATTTACTGGGTAGCACAGAAAAAAAGGGAGCCATTTGGGCTCCAGACGTACTTTCTTAAATGAGGAACCGACCTTTCAACTGGTGGCAGTGCTGATCTTACCCTTTGCTGAATGACTTTGCCTCCAGCCACGCTTTGACTTCTTCAGCACTGGATTCAAAGGTGAGGGGCACAAAAACTTCCTGAGGCTTCTCCACTCTGAAATTCCTCTGGGGAGGCTGAATTTTACTGTTTGTGATCTTCTTTAGCAACTCATCATTCACCTCGTCCATTTGATGCAGAAGTTCTGGGGAAACAAAGCACACTTTTTAGAGCACCTTCAAACTGTGATCAAGAACAGATTTGTAGAGGGAGATCATCAAGATTTTGGGTGGTGGCAAACTGATGGAGCAGGATTTCCTTGCCTTTCCTCCCAAGCCTGTCAACTTCTTTTGGCTTTTGAATCATCACTTTTTCTTTGGAAGAAAGCTGGATTTCTCCACTGCTCCTCCAGAATGATGGAGAGGAGGTATCACAAAACAACAGCCAAATGCCCATCATCTGCACAGCGGTCACTGAACCTAAAAAGCTGCCTCAGCTAAGTGCCACTAAGCACATATTTGACCTAATTTATATGAAAATATATAGTGACTGATCTCTTGTTTCTTGTGTTGCTACGCTCTCCCATTCATCACGCTTCATTCAAGCCTAGCAGAATGTTGCTCAGCAATGTAAAACACCTGATCTGGCAGTGACTTGCTGCCATCAGTGCTATCGGGTGGTGACAAGGGACTCCCCAGCCCTGTGATGCTGTTTTGTTTTTGCTTTAGACGATCATTTTCCTGTCTTGAGTTACTTAGTTCCCTTCAGGCTACTGAGATAAGGAAATTGCCCTGCAAACTTAGTGGCAGAGAGGGGAAAAGAAAACCCAGAGCATGTGAGACAGCAGAAGTCAGAGAGGCCTAAATGTATTTTTGACAGCAGGTTCCCATTTTTCTGTGTCTCTGTGTTGCTGTCTATTTTCTTCCCATTGCCTTCTTGCCATTAGGTGACATGTGATGACCTACAATTAGAGCCTTCTTTTTAAGCTGTAGTCCCACTCCCTGCATTCTTCTGTCCTCACTGTGACTTTTGATAATCTGCAGATCCCAATCTTCAGCCTTCAGCTTTTGCCTTGCAACCAAATAGAAGTGGGAGGAAGCCTGAACTGGGAGTGACCAGTACAGCTCCAGTGACACATCACCCAGTATCACTTTTTCCATGACACTCCTGAAGGCTGAGGAGAATAACTCAGTGTTATTAATAGATATGTGACTACAGTGTCTGTAATGTGGGGCTTTCCTCTGTCCCAGAAGAGCTTCTGCTTCCAGGAGGATACAGGAGGTGAAGAGGAGATGAACTCTGGCTATGGCTTTCAGCAGTCAGTATGCTACAAGTGTGTTTAGGGTGAGGCAAGGGGGTGAGGTGTGCAAGGCTCCTGGTCTTTCTCATGCTACTTGTCTCTGTATGGCTTCTGCAGAGGGAGGGTGTGATGTACATCTCATATGTGACAGATCTGGTGGCTGGGATTTCCTTGGAACCATTCAAAGGAACGGGCCAGCTGGGCACTGCATGTGTGACAGGAGACGAGCGCAAAGGGAGTGAGAGAACAGGATGGACCTGAGTGGGGATGGCTGCTTCAAGTCACTGTGAACGGAAAGGGGGCTCTCTCCTTGGGAAGAGGAAGGTCAAGCTGGAAGAAGGGTTAAGACGATTTTAAATCACCTTTTTGCCCTCCTTTTCTCAGCTGCCTGGGCTCAGTCAGTGAGCTCCTCTGGGCTGCTCTGCTGGCTGGAATCTCTACATCTTTTCTAAAACCATTGCTGCTCTCGTGCTTATCACTAAAGCTGCACTCACTTCTTGTGCAAAGTCTCATGAGAAGGGATGTGCATTTGGTAGGTTGCCATGGCCACACGCACACAGATACAGCAGGCAGATCATTATGGCAAAGGTAAAGAAAGAGAAGAAACCACAGGGACGGGGGTAGACACAAGCACATGTTCACAAAAAAGTCCTGAAGCAGAGCTGCCTGAGAGCAGCACATGTGGTGTAAAAGAGGCAGATGGGAGGCACATACGTTCTTTGGCATCCTGGGGAGAGTTACGTGACAACATTTCACTTCCCCATTTATCCCCAGCGTAGCTGGCAGGCAGCTTGTGAGTTGGGCTGGATGGCCCATATCCTCTGGGACTCGGGTCTCCTTTGTACCTCTGGTTAGCCTGGATGAGCAAGAAAATAAACTTATAAGAATATTTCTTTTTGTCATTTCCTGCGTTTTATTTATTTATTGTTTTCAGATATTTTGTCTCCCCGCCATGGTAACAAATGGAGGGATAAATTGCTGCGTCCTCCTTGTGAGGGTCTTCCCTCACTCAGGAAGCACTGTGTGGAACTGAGTTCAATTCTGGGGCCTCACAGGAATAAGCACAAGAAGAAAACAAGCCAAAATCCCATTTGGAGCTAAAACATCAATGCTCCAGTAATTGGATGTTGAGTGGGACTATTGCCAAGTGCCCAGAGCAGTCTAGAAAGAGGCTTTTTATATTTTCTTAATTAAACTTTTTGTCCAAAGGCCTTCTGGAGCACCTTATCCTTTGCCCAACTTGAGAAATACCAAAGGGGGGAAGAAATTCCATGCTTCCTTCAGGCATTTGGAGCTCTCTGTCACATTTTTGCAACGCGAGGTGCTTGAGAGTGGTATTCACTTAGTGCTCACTTGGCTGGAATTTCAGGCTGCCTCTACTCCAGCAGTTTTTTCCTACTGCTGAGTTGAATTGTTGAGAGAACTGTCTGGTCTTAAATTCCCAACAGCAACAACATCTATCCTCAGTGCTTTGGTGGCAAAAAGCGCTCTTATGGCTGCATTAGCTCTCTCATCCTGCTTACAGCACAGCCCTGAAAACATCAGTTTCACAGCTGAGGCGGTGGTAAACTGTAGGCTAAGAAGTACATGAGCTTGGCGGGAAGGCACTAGCAAAAGGTGAAACTACTTCAAGCCACTGCAGCCAGCAGATATTTGGGGACAGCTCTGTGTGAGACCTTTTATCTGTTTGGGATGGCTGCACGCAGTGCAGGGGGAGATAAACAATGGCAGAATGTGGGAGTTTATCACAGGAACAACCCGGACCCCAGCTCATGTGCTTGTGACGGTCCCTGCTGTCCTCCATGTGATATCCTAAGAAATCCAGGCTATTCCCAATGGCTGACTATGTCCTGCTACAGGCTAGCAATTAACATCACCTGGCTACACACCTGTTCGAGCTCCTCCAGTTTCACCACATCCAGGATGTTATAAGGGACGTAACCAGCCTGCCCGCTCCGGTTGAGCAACTTCCACCACTGCTTATTGTCTTCCAGCACCTGACAGAGAGAGGGAAAAGGATTGCTGGTGAGACCATCTGATTTCTGGCCTCTGTAAGTGGGACACATGGAAAGAAATGGCACGCTGAAGTGGTTGGAATAATATTGCTGACACTAGCAGATCTGCTGCACTGACGTGCAGTTCTGGAGTGAAGCCTTTCTTGAAAAGCATTGCAATTTATCCTAACGATAACAGGGGAACTCTGCTAGGGTTTGTCTCTCCGTTGTTGAGATCTTTGTCTTGTTCCTACAAGGGGAGGAGAGTACACCTCTGGGCACATTGCTCACCTCCAGAATTTCATCCTTCAGCACTGAGAGTTCATTGGCATTTCGTGCTGTGAAATCGTAGCGGATTTTGGCATATCTCCTCGGCTGGGCCATTCCTTGCGCCTCAAAATTCCTGCAGGAGAGAGAAAGAAGATTTTCAGAGGAGACCTATTGAAGAACTAAGGCCCTACAGGTCCACACAGGTGATGGCTGTGCAAGTGCAGGTTGAACCAGTTGTGTTTGTGTTAGAAGGGGAAGTGCCTCTCTGCTCCTTGGCAGGGAGAAGGGGTGTCAAACACGAGCATAGGTAGCACTGACTGGAAATCTGTGCTTTGTTCTTTTTTTCCAGCAGGCAACACTGAGCTACTGAAAGATAATTGCGCAGATCCATAGGAAAAGTGAGTTGAATGTTTCTATTCTACGCTTGGTGGGAGGAGAAAAGCATTCAGGTATATTGCTTGGAGATCTGTGGCAGAAGAATGCACGGCTTTCTATGTTAAACCAGCTTTTTGTTTGGAAAGGAGCAATAAATGCAGGAGGTTGTCCAAGGTGGAAATGTGAGGTGAAAGATTTTGTTTGGCCCAAGCTGAAATGTGTTGGGTTTTTTGTTTTTCTTCCCCTCTTTTTTCCTGGCTTAGGAAAAAATGTGCCTATCTCATCTCTTTCTCTCTGGTTGGGATGGGCATAGTGTTATTTTTTAATCCCAAATATGCCTGCAGTATGGGTAAAGCTGCATTGCCTGGTTGTGTAACCGTAGACAGGAAATACTTTAATGCATTTTTCGTGGATCTTTCTGCCTATGACTCACAAGCACATACACAGTGCAAGGGAGCTCCAGCTGCTTATGTTCACAACAAACATGCCAGCAGGGTGTGAGGTTCTCCTCCCATGGAGCTACCCCAGTTTATATCAAGGTCCATGTAATTTGATGAAGCCAGTTATACAGCTGCAGGTGGGCTGAAAAAGGTGCAACCCATTGGCTTAGTGACTTGGTACCATGCTTAATTCTGCAGCGTGGCCTTCAGTTCACTTGATTTGGAATGGCTCTCAGTTACCAAAGCATGGTGCAGTCTTTCAGACAGATGGAATCTACCAGTCAAGAAAGGGAGTGATGGCCTTACCCTGCAGTGCCCTGAAGGTAGGGAGAGGGGTGAAAAGCCTGAGTTACAGACTTATTTTGTACCATTTCAGAATGTAAATGGGTCACGAGGAAAGAGGACAGCTGGAGGAGGGTGAAGGTAAAGTAAAGCATAGATGCATGCAAAACACATGTGAGCATCACTGTTTAATTCTGCCTAGGGCTTTTGTGACACTTCTCTGCAGCCCAGAGCCCTGTTATAAATAATAATACATGCATGGGTGCTCTTGCTAATATAGAGTCTCTTGGTTAGAAAACTAGCAGGAAATGCTCTGTCCCTGGGCTGTGATGTTGGCAATTATCTGGGCAGACTTGGCTGAAGCCTGCTCTGGACTGAAGAATCATGGAAACATTCTCAATTATAGCATCTGCTTCAGTGCCATTAACTTGGGTGGCTTTTTTTCTTACATATAACATAAGGAAAAGGTGCTGCTGATAGTCTGAAAGGTAGGTAAAAAGGAAAAAAGGCATTCTCATCTACTCTTCCATGAGCTCATGCTGTAGTTAGGCTGGGTGGTGTTGCATGGAAATGGTCACCATGGTGAAATGGCATGCTGCTAATTTGTATTCCACTCAATACGACCGTGCCCTGGTTGAGTTTGTGATCCTGAGAAATGTGGGCCTGACAAAGAGTGAGGTCAGCACCCAGAACTTCAGGAGAGCAAACTTCAGGCTGTTTAAGGAGCACCTCCATCCCTGGAGGAGTTCTTGACCAGCGTGGATGGGCCTCTGTGCAACCTCATCTAGAGGCTGGAACCTGATGATCCTTGAGGTGCCTCCAACCCAAGTCGTTCCATGATCCTATGATTTATTATTTACTTATGCTAAGACTAACAGGTAAAACTGTTTTCTTCTCTGCCTTGCCTACCAGTCACCTAAGATGGGCTTAAAGGTTCTCATGTAAACTGATTTCTTATTTTTCACAACATCGCTGATCAAAAACAGAATTGGAGAATCTGTTACCAAAATTCTCTTTCCACTCAGTGCACTGTTTCTGCAACATTTTATGATCAAACCAGGACATTTGGGGGGCAAATAGGCAGAATAAATTCTTTTGCTGTTGCAATTGGATTTGAAGATTTTACTGTGAATCCGAACATTTTGTAACAGCAGTAAAGCTTGTAAATCTTTTGGATTTGAACATTAAAACATGAAACAAACTGTGTGCCTTTAGGCTTTTTTTTTCCAGCCCAGTGCTGGCTTTGGAAAAGTCTGTTAATTGCTTTGCTGTGTCTGGACTTCCAGCCTTTAACATTTCATGGCTCATTAGTGTAATCCAGGCCTGTGCTTGTGTGGAGAGAACTTCATGTCAAATCACTGCAAAGTGAAGTATGGCAAAGAATCCATCTGTAATTTGGGAAGAGTTTGTTGGAGTTTGGAGGTCTTAGGAAACATTAAAAGGCACATGATGCTTAGCATCACTTTGGTGAGTTGATGTTATGGAATGACATACTGACAGACTAATGAGGCCAGCCAGGAGCTTTGCCTCTTCAGGCAGAAAGCACGTGCAGCTCATTTCCTTATAGACCTGATTAAAAAGTTCTCTCTACCTTGGCCCCAAGTCCATCTGTCAGGCTTCCAAAATGCCTTGTTATCGAGATGTGGTGCAGTGGGTGCTGCTGAGGTTACGTGGGGAAGGCCAAAGCAGTGTTTTGCAGGGTGGTGTTGGTACATTACCTATTTACATGCTGAGTTACGTTCTGTTTAAAGGCATCCACAGCTTGTGTCTGATCAGCTGCCTGGCCACGCTTGAGCGAGGAGTTACGGTACGGATATCCATTGGCTGATGATAGCTGGAAGGGGAAAAATGGAGTCAGTGGTGCCACTGTGGAAAGGGGGAAGCTGCAACAGAGGGAAAGGAGTGCCTGACAGCTTTGGTCTCCCTGAGTTCCTCTGTTGCCACATGCAGAGGCTGGAGAAATTAGCTGTAGGCTGTGCAGATCCTTCTGAAGAAGAGAAAGGAAGGGTGAAAGGGAGAAAGGATGGTCCAGAGCACAAAACTTACCTCTTCTTGCAAGTGCCCAATGTCTATTTCCCAGGGAGCTCCGCGGAAGATTTCTATGGGTGGTTCCCAACCATTGCGGAATTTGGGGATGTAGGTAGGAATGTTTGCTTCTCGGGGCCATTCAGCCCTAGAATGTGAAGCAGGGAAGAAGTAGATGGTGAGAAAGTAACATCTGTCCCAAAGCATGCAGTACCGCGTGCCAGGGAAAGAACCAAAGATGACGTAGCTGTAAAATCAAGCATGCCTTAAGAGCCTGGGATTGCTGGTGAGACAGCAGCTGTCCTCACCTGGATCTGGTCCATGCCTCTCCCAGGGAATCCCATAGGCTTATCTCTTTTGGTGTCAGGTGTCCTTTGAGAAAATCTGTGGCATCTTTAGAAAGAAGTGGACTGATGACAGACCTGGCAAGCTCAGGGCCACCACAGCTATTGATGATCTGAATTACAACACAGACACAGAGGAGTATGAGATTTTGCAGGAAAGGTTCAAAATATCATGAAAGACATAGAAACCAAAGACAAAAATCAGTCACTCTAAGCATTTGGACTCTCTGTGCCTGCCCACCTTAAAGAAAAGGTATACCTTCTAGACTGTATAAAGAAAGAACAAATAAATAAGGCAAATAATTCCTGACTAAATTCTCCAAAGGATCCACGGGATCGCCTGACAGCCTAGCAGCAGCTAATGTTTACATTAGCTGTCTCCAGAAACATCAGCCTAATTCTCTGCAGAAGTCTGAATAGTTCAGGGAAAGGCAGTAGTTTTTCTACTTGGGTCAAATAAACCTTAAAACCAGCCATTGCTGGAGAAAGGATACAAACTGCCACGCTGAAAAATGGAAAATCTCTTGGTATTTCTGCATCACTTCTGGTTTCTTCTCTAGGTTGGATTCCTGCCTCTTCCTTTCAGTGCAAATATTGAGCCACGTTTACTCAAAGGTGAGACCAGGCAGATTCCCAACAAGAACCAAAGCTGGCTCTCTCTTCACAGTAAGTCTTTGTGAATGTGGTGGAAAGTTTCGTATTTGCTTGGGTTTGGGCATTTAACTCAGGCTGGAAATCAGATCAGAAAGCAGGAACGCTGGTTGCTTACTGAGAAAACTTTGGAAGGTTCTGAGCAGCTTTCTGATTTCTCTGCACAATTTAGCTGCAAAAGCAACATTAGAAATAAAAAGCAAATTCACAGCAACACCTGTGAATTAGTCTTACCAGTTCCAGTGGCCCAAATAGGAAATGCACCAACTCTGAAGCGCTTGGGTTCTGAATGTGCTTTCTCAGTTTGGCCTGAAAAAAAAAAAAAAAGAAAAACCCACTTTAATCCTAACCTGATTTTGGTTAGGATGCTATAACATGAGGGCTCATGATCCCTGACGATCACTGATTCCCCACTCGCCTTCTTGTTTGCCCCCACTTTTTCTTTGCAGGCTTCTGGATATATGGATAGCCAAGTCCAAGACCTGCATGTGGGGAGAGCTGTGGATGCATGGCCTTGGCTTTAGCAGGTCCTGATCAATTCTCATCCCAAGCACATATGAATATCTGCTTCTAAAAGAAAAGGCTGCATCTTTGTGTCCTGCCTCAGGCTTCTTTCCAGTCTCTGTGGTTTCCTTACTGATAACTTTTCAGGAAGTATCTTGTTCACTGAGCAACTTCAGAGCTGACAAAATTTCCTTCTGGCTCATTACCCTCCTGGTCTCACACACTTGTCTAAGCAGTGCTCGCAGCACTGGGAACATCTTTGTGCTCCAACTTGTCATCTTCTCAATGCCTCCTGGTACAGCTCTTCAAGAGCAGGAACAGAGTAGGAGCTGGGAATCTGGGGGCAAGGAGGGATACCTCATGAGCAGGGGCACAAAGGCTTGGTATGGCACAGAGAGAAAGGAGGCACAGGCAGAGGAGCAGGTGGCTCCTTTCAGCTCAAAGTGCTTGTGAAATGGGGCCAGGTGCTCACTGTGTGTGCACCATGGCTCTGGCACATGCACAGGCAGTGGAAGGCACATGCCTTTTCCAAAGGTGGACTTTAGGCTTCTAGCTTCAGCTTGAACAGCTTGGCTAAAGGAGCCTACACAAACCTCACGCAATGTTTGTTTTGTGGTTGGTTCTGGCAGAAGAATCTGAAATTCACACCTTTGTCCCTTGATAGTGCTTTCACTACACATTTCACTGCAAATGCTTACTGCTGCAGTGAATCTGGCTGCCATGTGGCTGCCTAAGATCCCCAGTGTCTTACCAAGAGGTTAAAAGCCAGTTTGGTTTTCTGGAAGCAGTCGATGAACTCAGCCTCGCTTGGGGGTCTTGCTCGAAGAGTCAGCATTCCCTCTTCAATGAGAACGTGGAGAGAAAGACAGTTTAATTAGTGTGTCCCTTTCTGGATGGCACTTCTGCTGGCATGCAGGTAACAGCTACTGAAAATCTATGGATTGAGAGAAGTCAAATCTCTGCACTAAGTCCCTAGAGTCCAGCAGGACTTTGCCAGTGGTGTTTTGCAAACTGAGGCAGGGCTGCACTGACCTAGCCTTGGGAGCTGAGGCTTCCCAACCTGTGCCCCCACATTCCCCACCTGTTCTAGCTTCTGCACTCTACCTGCTGGGCCTTTCTTCTTGTTCTTCTTCCCTTTCTTCCTTTGGTTGAGCTGTTTGAATGCCTCTGCAGCCTTCTGAAGCCTGGCAACAAAGACTTCAATGTCATCCAGAGTGCAGTTCAGGATTTGCTGTGAGAACAGAAGTGCAACAAACACAGGTGAGAAAGAGCCCAAACTGGGCACAGATGGGAAACAAGAATCCTAGGTCTTTACCTACTTCATTTCATGGAAGACTGAAGAGTTCAGGCAAAAAATTAGGCTGGGTTCATCCCTTTCCCAACACAAAGCTGTGCCTTGTTTTGCACGCTGTGCTTACCAGTGTGATAACTGGCTCCTAGCTAATGGACCTTTGGAAAATAACCCCAAGAGAGGACTGTGCACTGGGGAGAACCCCTCTGAAACCAGCAAAGGAAATGGTAGCTAACCCAGCGATGAAGTTTTGCTTTTGTTTACCCTTCTGAACAGTAGATATCAGTTTAAAAATGAATGAACTACACATAAAATATCCTCATGGAGGAGCCCCTTGCGTCTTTCCTGTCTTCCCCTTTTCCTTCTGCCTTCTGTTCTTGTTACCAACCGTTTCTTTTTCGATCTTCTGTGCTAAGATGGCGCGGGATTCTTCATGGTCCTGGGAGGCAGAGCCTCGGCGCTCATAGTCTGCAGACAAGGAAGGGGAGAGAAAAAATATTTCTTACCATGGAAGATTGAAGATGGGCCCCATCAAACACAGTGACCCAGGAGTGGTAACACCTGGCTGTGTTTGTTCATTCCTTCATTCCGAGAGCACCTCGGAAGCTCACAATGGGCAGGAGGTGATCAAAGATGCCGATTAAATCTGCCACGGGTTGCAGCACCTGTGTCTGTATGCTGCCTGTTTTCAGATGGGAGCACTGGATAAATCATGGACAGCAGCCAGCTACCAGCTACAGGCAGAGACCTGCAAGCCCCAGCTGCTGGGAGGCTCCCACTTGTTTGCCCTCAATGCATCTATGCTACCTTAGGGCCACTGAAGAGCTGCCCCCAATATTGCTGAGCATCCCACAAACACAAGTGTGGTCGGAGCAACTCTGAGTCTGTCTTCTAGCCTGAGCTCCCCAGGAAAGAAGAAACAAGACCTGGAAATGAATGCAAGTGTCGCCCGCTAGAAAGCAGCCTGCCAGGAATTCTGCATGATTGGTATTCAGGCAAGCCTCTGCAAAAATCAGCATTTTTGTGCCAACTTGCATGCAGTCTCTCAAATGTTTTTAGCTGATACTAAAAAGAACAAAATTCAGGTGTTGAAAGATGGTCTGGCTCTGAATTATAAATCTTATTTTTGTTATGAACCAAAAATAGGCTCTCCATCCAGGAGACTGGATCAACTGCTTGGCCTTGGATCCCAACCCAGTTAAATGAGTGTTTACTCTCATCAATTTGAACTTTCTTACTGTATTCTGATTACATACTTTCCGAGAAATTCACCTCAACAGAAACTGGTACAACAGGCTATTTGCTGGTCATTTTAGTCAACTCCAGATCTTTTTCTTTTTTTTCTTCCAGAGAAAGAGCTTATTTCTGCTACTGGGAGCTTTTTTCTGTGACTGCTTTCTCCAAAGAGGGCTACAACTTTTCTCAATGCAGCTCAAACTGAAGTCAGGATGACGTTGGAATAAGGTTTTAGAGGGGTGAATTCCAATCTGCCTTTCCACACTCAGCTCTAGAATTCATACATATCGCTCAATTTCTGTGGGTGAAATGTGCGTTCTTTGTGAAGCTCGCAAGGGCCAGGAATGTGCCTTTCTGACCAGGTCTGTACATTTTGATTTCACTGAGCTGAGCTGTCATCATTCAGTTTGCTGAGGGCCTGTCACCTCTTTGGGTGCTTCACAGCACAGTGTAAAGACACTGGGTGGCAACAGTGGGGCTGAAATGACCCCAGGCTGTTTCAGGAAGGTTGTCTGCCCAGGCTGATGAGTCCCCATCCTTAGGGACAGACTCACTGAGCTCTCCCAGTACCTGGTTCATACTGGGCAGGGGGTGCCACCCGGTTCCTGTTCATGGCTTGGCCTCGCATGTCGTGCTGAATCGGGATGGGGGCTGGCCCTTGTGGTGGTGGGAGGATAGACTGTCTCTGCTTGATCTTCTCTTGATTTGCCCTGCAAGTCGACAACACAGAACAACCCCGTCAGAGGATGCTGATCCTAATTCCAAGAGATCTGTGTGAATGCTGGAGCAGGGATGCGGTGCTGGGGGTGATAGGTACACTGCCTACCTTGCCCCTTTGTCCTGAGTCCTGCAGTACTTACTTGAGCGTCTGTGGTCGTATTTTCTTCCCATGCTTGTGGTCTGCCAGGGCACTTTCTATGTCTTCGTGAACCATCTCCGCCTCGAAAAGAAATTGGAATATTTTACTACGGGGCTGTGCTTTGCAAAGCTTGAATTGTGAGTAAGGGGAGAAGTGGCTGGCAGAGAGCTGGGAACATATCTTGTTCTGTTTACAAGATTGCTTGGCCTTGGGGTGGTCTGCAGCCAGACATCACTGACTGCAACGCAGGAGAGCCTTTAAAGGGCAGTGTCAAGGCACCAATATCTGTGCCAACCTTTAGTGTGGCTCACAGTTCCCATTGACCACCATCATCGCCTGCACAATCCACACCTTTGTTTGAACAAGGGAGTACAAAGCCATGCTGCATATTGATATATCCATGCAGGTGGCACTCCTCCCCCCGCCTCACCCAAACCAGTCTGTAAGCTCTCGACAGCCTTGCAGGTTACTTGGCGCAGGTTCCACTGTCTCACATGGCCCAGAAGGGTTTTGGGGGCCACAGCAGCTCCATTTCCCACCAGATCCCAATGGCGAAGAAGGCTCTGCTCACCTCCACCTCATCGCAGTTGAAGAAGTGGATGTCAGGTTTGTGCTGTTCTGAATCCTGGCACACCAGGAGGAGGATGGAGGAATAGCGCATCTGGTTGAGCACCGTCTGGCAGTGCTGGACAGTCGGCAGTGGGAAGTCCTCCAGCTCTTCCTGGGAAAGAAGAAGGAATGGGTTGGGCTTGAAGAGAGAGACCTGACAGAGCTTGTGTTCTGGGATTTCCTTGACCCATCAAACATACTTGTTACCATCTGCAAAGGGCCTGGGGCTATGGAGAACTGGGAGAGGGGTGGACGCCAAACATCTCCTGAATCTCAAACAACTTGAGTTCTCTCGCTCACCGCGAACCATGTTGTGCTCTACCTGCATCAGCCACTTGCCATGCATCCCAGCAGAGTGCTGGGAAGAAAGATGCCTTCTGGATGACAGCAGTGAGCAGCTTGCCCTGCCACTGACTCTTTGGATGAAATTGTGCAAACGCTTTTTGGTTTTTCACTGTTAAACCCAGAGCAGCACCACCCTTCTCCTGCTGTCTGGATGTGGCACGGTTTTCAGGCAGGGAATCCTGCATGTTGTTATAATACCAGTAACAAGTTCTTTCCTCTCTACTCATACGTTATATATAGGTCTCGGTGGACCTGCAAGTCTGCATCACTCCCACAGAAAACAGTTACACTGTTTGCTTGGAGCACAGCTCAAGGTATCTTCTATGTGGACTATCTGTGCTCGGGAGCCAACCCACACCTGCTTACCCTTCCAATTAGAGTCAGCCAGCCCCTGCAAAGCCTGGAGTGGATTTTGATAGTGATTCACCCTTGTTTGGTTTCCTTACTTAGGGAAGTACTAACCATCCGTAGATGGTTTCCCTAAGTAGAACCCCCTATGTTAACCTCTGGCTACCTGTGACTCGCAGTCTAGCAGGCGGATGGACTTGTCATTCACTTGCAGCAGCATCTCCTGTGTCCAAATTTTCTCCTTGGAGTTGAGCAATAGGAGTTTTCGGATGGCATCATCCACTGTCACGATGGATTCACTCTTGTCCATGATGAAGGTGGCCAAGTGCTGAAGTTGAGAGGAAGGGGGAGAAAACAGGTAAAAAAGCTTTGATGGGTGTATTGTAAGTCACGGGTAAAACCACCTCTGGAAGTTTGGACAGTTAGTTGTTCCTTATTGCACAGGCTCAACAGAGTTGCTGTGCAAAGCGTGCATTCTGGTTGTTAGCACCAGACATGACTGCACTTGCCTGCTTTCCCAGCCCTGTTCTGTGTCCTGAAGCAATGATCCAAGCATTACACTTGGCACTGAATTTATACAGACTTGTGTAATCGAGCAGCACCTGCAGGCTTTTGACTGCTGGCAGGGCTCCACATGAGGGGAATCCCAGCAGGGTAGATCAGGGGGGAGTAACAGAAAGGAGAAGCATCTGCTCTTTGTTGTCTTTAGTACAGGAGTGAGTTTTGCCTGGCTTTTCTCCCTCTGACCTCTTGTTTTCACGCCTTCTCCCAGTGATCAGTTATAACCATTTCAGAGATCAGGTAGTAGCTCCTTGGTACAGTGATGATGTACCAGGGGTTAGATGGGCCCAGAGTATCCACGGCACCAGAGCCCTGGGTGGCCCTGTTGAAGCATGGATGAGAACTATCATTGCAATTGGTTCCATACGGGATGTGTATGCAAGAGGAAAAAGCTCAGATTGAAAGCACTGGCAGCCCTAAGAGGATGAAAGGGTTGAGTCTTTAGTCAACATTAGGGATGGAGGGAATTTGAGGTTACCAATTCATCGCTAAGGTGATTGCTGGATAATTCACCAAGACTGGATAGATCAGAGAAGAGGACAAACACAGCAGAAATTAAGTGATGGCCCAGTTCTGTGCTCATAAAGCAAAGGTATGGGGTGAGGCACTATCTAAATAAAACTTCTGGCAGGTATGTGAGCAGCTAAAGCTGAGATTAGCCGTGCCATCAGATATGAAGAACATGCTTGGGTATGTGTTACTGTAATTGTAGAACGCCGCACGAAAAGCTATTTGCAAAGTCAATATTACCCGCACGGAGATGCCAAACCCTCTGCCTTCTGAGCAGTGAGGAGAATTGGTTTATACCTGCTGACAGTCATTCTTATCTGCTCTATTATGATAACTGCTGGGTTTACAATCTTCATAAATTCCTAAGTTATTTACTGTTAAATAAGTTCATTTTCAGGAAGCCAAAGCTACTTCTCCATCTCAGACTCATTAAAATATTTTTCCTTTCCCTTTTCTTTAAATAATGCTGGAGTGGGGGGAATAAAGGCTTGTTCTTATCTTTATCTGATTAAACCCCCCTATCCAGAAGGAGAACCAAATATGCTAACTTTCCTAAGAATGGGCTTCCACTTTTCAAGTTCAATCAACTTACAGATTACTTAAGGGTATAAAATGCTTCTTCCTGCCTCACTGCCGGCCACTGAAGCCCTGTTTGCTTTGGTCAAAGTTGAAGGCACAAATCACAGATGAGTGGCACAAGGCATAAGGAACGAAGTTCTAAGTCCCTCTCTGGGTCCATGAGTGATTCTATTTGGCAGGGCTCACTGATGGGGATGGTTGGCTGGGGCCTTAAACCAGAGAAAAGGGGATCCTTCCCACCACCTGTGAACTTCATGAGCCTCCTTTCTTGCCTTGCCAGCTTTCAGTGCCAAGTGAGCCAGCTGTCCCCAGCCAGGTGGAGCTCCTGCTGGTTGGCAGCTGCACAGGCTGGCTTCCTCCCTTATGTAGGTGTCTGTGACACTGGAAGCTGAATTTTGCTGAGTGCCTGTCATGGCTGAAGGGTTTTGAATTACTGGAGAGGACACAGTAGTTGAGGGAGAGCTGAAAAACGATAGTTGACATGCTCAGTGTGGGTTGGGCAGGTGAGTTCCTCTAACCACTGTGTTCAGCAGGAAGGGTTTGAAGCACAGAGTGATAAGGGGGACAACAGCTCCCATTGCTCTCCTTCAAATGTAGAGAAGGATGAGGACAAGTTTCTCAGTTTCCTCTTTCTTCATGCTGAATTTACCTTTTTTTACATCTTTTTTTCTCCATTCTCCATTCTCTCATTACTCTATATTTCAATTTGCCAGATCTCGAACATTCATATTTTTGATAAACGATGGCTCTGCATGGCATTTCCAATTTTAATTTAAAATAGAAGAGAGATCCATTGTTAATTAAACCAAATTCACATCACTGTTTTTTGTCCTCCCTCCCAATCAATCCTTTTGTATTTGATAGCTATAATGGCCAAATGTGTCCAGCTGAATAGGTGCTGGCTTCACAGAAAGTCCTGAAGGATGAATGGAAGATTGTCAAGCATCTTTGCTGTTTGCCTCTCCCAGGATGTGGAAAGCAATGCTTGCATATTGTTAAATAGGCTACCAGCTGCTCTTTGACCTAAAAAAGCTCCAGGAAAAGTGAAATATTTCATTATCAGCATCTATCACTCATACAGGTCTTGCAGTCCCATAAAAGTTAATTGCATGCTCACCTGTACATGGTACTGTGAAGTCTCGTGCATAATGATATTGGAATTGGAATATTTTTTCCTTTGTTCTGGAAAAAAAAGAAAAAGAGAGAGAGAGAATCCCTTTAGTTTAAAGGCTGTTATCAGTGTATTCAGGTCTGAAAATTAGAGCTTTCACATAGGGTGCTACTGTCCAGGCTTCCAGTTTCAGAGTGCTGAGAATCAAAGTACTAACTTGGTGTGCTGGATACACATTCCAGTTGTATTCCAGAATGACACTGATAATTCAATTCCTGCACTTCTTAAAGACGAAGTGAAACCTTATGTAAAGCAAAGCCTCAGACAGCAAATGACCAGGGAAGGTGTCAGAAGAGCAGCTTGCAAAGGCTGCATCCCATCAGCCTGGACAGAACAGCCCTTCTAGATGGCCTCTGGAAGAAACCCTCTGCAGCACTGCGACACTGCTAGTTTGCTGTCTTATATTTCCTGGCAATGAGAAGGGCTGCAGGGGTCAAGGCCAGCCAGCCAGAACCTGCCTGGAACAATGTTTTTATGAGGCAACAAACCTTTATTGCTTCCTGCATTTCTCACTGGTAAACAGCAGCAAGGAGCAATTGGAAAAAATACTGCTTTTAAAATTTTTTTTTACAAGAGGCTCTGGAATAAAATCCTAGAAAAATCGACCTGTCAGCTTTTACTCACTGGTTAATGGTATGTGTCCATTCTGTATGTATGCTTTGTGTGCCTGGCAGAGGAGAGATTACCTGGGCTCAGAGTGAACTGAACTGAAAACACCTTCTTCACCAGCAGAGGACATCCTCTAACCTCTCGTTTGCTTAGAAAATGTAATTGTAGCTCTGTGTGTTGTCATAGGTTCTTACAATCTGATTACACATTTTTACCCATCCTAAGCTAGAAATAACCTGTGTTAGGTTACCTTTCTGTCCTCTGCAGCAACCATCAAAGCCAGGAGGATCTCGCAACATTTTGATGGAAAAAAACCCCAGAGACTTAGATGAAATACTGGTGGTATTTTTGTCAGCCTCTTGGTTTCATCCAGACTGTGGAGCTGTTTGCTCTAAGATCTGCCAAGCCTGTCCTTGGCACCTGGTGTGATTTGGAGCCAGCCCATCTATGCTTGCTCACCCGTTTGAGCTGAACAAGCTCACATCTCTCAAGTATTTGAGACTGCTGGTGTTCTGCTCAGAGTTCTCAGCCCATGCCCTGCCATGCTTGGGTCAAGGTCCATGGCTCCACTGCTTTGGGTTCCAACTCTTTAGCCTTTTCCTTGGACTCCTCGGTGTCTCTCATATATGTTTATTCCTGCTTGGCTTCCACCGATGCAGAAGGTGCCTCTCCAGCCAGCAGGTGTCTCCACAGAACAAGCACTGCCCTGAAGGGTTGCTTTCCTTGAGATTTGGGATTTTCACCTTTGCTAGGCTAGGAGAGCTTTTAGATCAAGCCCCTCTTCGTGCTTCTCCATAGACACAGGGCTCAGCACTGGTAGCATCCTAAACATACAAACTGAGGCCCAGAGAGGTGAAAACGAAAATGGATGCTGATGATTTCAGTCAAAGCCTGGCAAGGGTTGATAGATACAGCTTTCTAATGCATTTTAATTTTTAAGCCTATGAGACATTTCATCACCGTGGCAGAACACCTGTGTACTTTGCACCTTGCACCTGTATGCCTGTCACTGAAAACACAACAGCGTGCTTTGCTTCCACAGCTAATTCCTCGTAGTACCGAAGTGGCTGCTGTGCACAGGTAGGAACTATTTTCTGCTGGGCATGCTGGCAGGGGTGTTGGCTGGGGCTCTGCCTTGCACACCAGGAGGACCTTTGGACACCTTGCACAGCTCCCAGCTCAGCTACAAGCTCCTGGAATGACCCTGAGTACAGGAATTAATCTTCCAGCATGGCTACTTTCCCCCCTTTGGCTTACACTGAGGGGTCAGCGGCATTTTCAGTTTGCTGGGTGTTTTAATTGCAGCCTGCCCTACTTCAGATGTGGGGCAAGATCTGGGATAGGGCACACAGCAATGCATGTCTGTGGGGAGTTGTCTCTGATGTGAGGCACTTTTTTTTCTCTGAGTAACCTCAATTTCCTCACAGAGCACTTCTCATGTAAATAGATGACACTAATGGAAATGAGAACACTGCGTCTTGTGTGGGATGGAGACAAATCTCAATTTTGAGGCATTCCATCCTCTCCTTTTTAAAAGGGAGTGGAAAAGGCTTCAGTGATCAGACTGGAAACAAAGCGGGGTATGCAGATGGCTCCAGCTCTGAAAGGACAGGTGTTGAGCAGTGTCAAGGGCTGGTAGATGGAGATGGAGTTCCATAAGAGCCCTCCCAGCCTTTTCCAGCAGAGGTGCAAAACACTGCAATCTCCTTTCATTTTAATGCAGGAAGAAGCAAGGATTCAGGCTGTAAATTGCAAAATAGTCAATTGTAGGCCACCTCAACCTGAGAGGTTGTATGAAAGAACACTGGCACATTTCCTCCTGGTTCATCTGACACCACTCATGCTGGAAATACTTTGCATTTCTACAGCATCTTGCAATGGAGAAGACTCAGGAGAGGTGAGGTGTCACCCAATCCATACTGAGTCTTCAGCAGGCAGGGAATTTGCATAATCCCCAACGATGAATAAGAGTGACAGAAATTTAAAGATGGTTTTCAGATGGCAGCCGCTGTCAGAACATATGGTGGAGAACTGCTGGATGCAGCACGGGCTGGATTGCAAAGAGCAGAATTGTCCTGGACTGTGGCACGAGTACAGCAAACATCTGAAGGTGATAAAAGCTGGCGTGAGCCCCAGTGACCATTGCTGTACTTTTTCCCTCCTGCCTGCCAGGAGAGTCAAAGAGACGGGGAAACAATAGAGCTTTGTCTCTTTCTTTTTTTGGTGTCAGGCAAGAAAAATCTCTCTTAGCATGAAGATCATCATCCTTTCCTAAGCAGCTAGCTTTACTGTTGCCTCATACTTACAGGCGTGGGAGAAGCTGCAAAGCTATTCTCTAAATAATGTTATCTGTCACCAATATCTTGCAGGCACACAGCACAGCACAGCACAGAAATGGTGTTTCCACTGGCACCAGAGGGCAGATGAGGAAATGGGAAATGCTGAGACCACTGCAGATTGGATTTTACCCACTCAAAATGGGCTGAAAACTGGGTGCTGGACTGAACATCCAGTGACAACAGGCCAAAATACTGTTTGGAAGGGAGATCGTCCTGCTTGGCTTTATGATAATGAGTGAAAGGATGGAACTGAGAAAATAAAAGTAGGATCAATACACATCCTGGAAGAATGGTGTTATGGGAAGCCAAAGCACACTCCATGTGCCAGGTTCCCTCCCCATTTCCATGCAACGCCCTTTTCCCCACAAAGCTGGGCCACGCTTCCCTCAACTGGGTGCTTTGTGCACACAGTACATCAGTGGGATAAATAAACACAAACCATTCCTGCTGGTTTGTGGGAATTGGAGCACTCCTTTCCCCCTACTGATGGTGCTGTGCTGATCTGCACAGGGTGCTGTGGGTCAGTTACATCAGAATCCAAAGGCTCAGGCCCAAGATTCTGTCTCTTTCCATCCATTACATTCTCATTGCTGCTACATACAAAAATTCACCCATGCTCTTGGTGTACACCGGAGCCAAAGCCACTTGTGGTGCCAACAGGTGCCTCTGTGACAAATTTCTGTCACAGCAGGGCTGGGGAGGCTCCAATCTCTCCTCCATGCACATCCTTCTCTACTTAATTAGGGAGTTGTATCACACCGGATCCTCCCTCATTCTCCTCGTATCTCCTTGTATTTGCTTTCTGCTGTTGCTAGGCAGAAGGCTCCGTAGAAAATGTGGGGGATGAACAATTCATCAATGAAACAGTCAGGAGGGAACCAAAGCATAACAACCCCAGGTTTGGGAGGTGGGCTGGAAAGGCAAGAAGAGCATGGCTGTTGCTGAGCATCTGGTCTCTACAGGAGCTGTCAGCACAGGACAACAGGGACCATGAGCCAAGAAATGCAGTTATCCTGCAAGGACTTAGAAGGGAGCCAAGAGTCAGGACTGCTGCTTTGCTTCAGAGCTCTGGTGAAGGACACACGTGAAGCAAAGGATTCCTGGCCTCTGTATCCATTGTAGCAGCTTAAGGAAAGTCCTGGTTGTTGCCTTCTGGAGTTTGCCAGTTCTTTATGTTACCTATATATTATCTAGCAATGCACGTGCTTTTTATAGTAACCTGCCCATGTAGCATGAGTCGGTCCTTCTGCCAAACCAACAGGTCAAGACACAGCCCTTTGGAGGAGAAATGAAACAGCAAATGCCTTGGAATGCTAATGGTAGTAATGCAGATTTGCCAGGCCTGCATTATAAAGCAGCCTTACGAAATAGCATCCCGTCCCGGAATCCCAGCAGGAGGCCAGATCTGATCCGGCAGCACCATCACGCATCTGCACTGTGCAGCTCTGCCCATCCCACTGGTTCCTGCTTAGCTGTAAGAGGGAGATTGGTCTGCACAGACACAGAAGCATGTGGCATTGCAAGGCCTCCTGCTAAGTGGGGAAAGCGTGTGCTTTTGGGACTCATGAAACTCATGAGTTGAAAGAAAAGGCTCTCATTGATACTGGCGGCAGCCAGGGGTATGAATGGACCTGGGCAGCACTGATAGCGCGCTGACAGCCAGCTGCTCTCAGGAGGCTGAATTCCTGCTCAGCATGCCTAATAGTTGCCACAAGCTGAAGCCCAATTGCTCACATTCCTCATTTATTAGCTGAAGGCACACTGCACTCCAGAAGAACAAATAAAAGTCTGACACAGCTTGAAGGTTGTGCAAGGCCTGCATGCACTAACTGCCTGCTTGTGCCTGGCATGCCCAAGGGCTGCTCAGCAAAAGACAATCAGGCTACTGAGAAGCTCGTGGGGAGAGGTACTCTCTTTTCCTTTAAAATCAAGGCTGGGCGGGATATGCCAGAAATGGAAACGCCTCTTTGTTAACCCCCCAGCCATGCAGTTTACCAACCAACAGCACTGTTCTTGCGCTGAGCCACCGGTGAGTTTTGATGCAGGAGCCAACAGGAATGTTGGTTTCCTTCCTTTCTTCCAGTCCCGTTTCCAGTTAAAGTATTACATTTCCAGGCTTTAAGTGAAAAGGGTCACCCATGAGGGTGGAGAGGAGCCGCGTAATCTGAAGCTGGAATCTGGGTGGGAAAGGGGATGTGAAGAAAGGCTGCTGAAGTGACACACGGAGGCAGACAAGGGAGCTATTCAAGGCTGGAGGTAAGGGAGAGGGGGAACCACTGCTTCAGGAGATCAGCAGATTGGTGTTGCCTGCTAGGTTGGCACTGCTGTGGTATACAATAACCAACACTAATGACCCCATTGGTGGCCGCTGTGCCCAGCCATCAGTTGTAAACACGTATTTACAGTGCAGCTTTAGGAAATGGACTGTATTGAGTCCATGTTTCTGTCTTTCTCCTTTTGAGGCTGTTCCTGAGCTGGCTCAGCTCCTGTCTGTAACGGCATCTCGCTGCATCACCACTTCACACTGCATTTGCCCAGTGTGCAAGTGAGGATGTGGGAGAGCAGACAGCAAGGAATTACAGCCTGGGGGTCTCCATGTAAGAGACATAAGAGCCCTATGGAGACCAGGAGCTGCTTTGTGACCGTTAAACACAACTCACTCCTTCACCACCAGCTTGTTGGTGCAGCCCCTCTCCCCATGGCTCCCCAGGCAGATGATAACCATCCCAGGGCCACACTGTTCTCGTATGAGCAGCTCCTGTCTTTGTGTTAGCATCCTGTGTTCTGTTACAGCCCGGGAGCCTTTCTTAAATTACAGGAGGCGTGCAGTGTCAAGTGATGACGCCTCACAGACTGAAGCTTTTCAAGTCCGTGTTTCTGTAGCCCAACACACACTAGTGGCCATTTCCCAGCCCTGTGTGCACCACGTTTGGGTCTTTCCCAGCAGTGTGTGTCAGGCAGCTCGGAGCCAGCTCTTGGCAGGGCACAGGGAAGCAGTCGAGCATCACACAGATGGACGCAGCACAGAAGTGAGCCCCGTGTGAAGTCATCTTTAAGCTCCCCTTGGCTCCACGCACCTTCTCACAGTTACAGTACCCAGCCCTCCATGAGAAACAGCACCAGCCAGCCATCCACGAAAGCAGCTCAGATGCCCTCCTGGCGACCACCCCAGAAAGGGATGGCGAGCAGTGGCAAACGCCGTGCTTCCTTCCCAACTCTTTCCTTGGCTCATCCTGTCACACTCATTTCCCCCTGCTGTCTTCGAGCTAGGTTCAGGGCACGTACCAGTAAGCAGAGAAGCAGCTTAATTTATTTATGGTATGCATTAACATTTATTCAGCTGCTTGCTGTGCGTTGGGTACGGTGGCTACCTGATAGGTGCCAGCCATTCCCCCTGCTCTCTCTGTACGGGCAGTCATGGACTCTTCCAGAATATGGAGCTGAGCAAATGTGATGCTGTTTAGCAAAGGGGAGTGGGAAGGATGAGCATCTGCTGTCATGGCAGCCAGGCAGCTCCATGGCTGAACGCTCTAGGATTCTGGTAGGGCTGGAGATGGGGGAAGATGTCTCAGGGCTTTAGGCCATTTTTGTGCAGAGTTCCCTGGAGATTTGGATCTTTCTACATCCCTCTGTGCTCACTGCAGTGAAAAAGACACCAGCTATGGCAGGAGGACAGCCACCCTCCCCACCTCTGGGCCACCGCTGTCACCTCTGTGGACCAACATGGGTAGAATCACTGAGGTTGGAAAAGACCCTTCAGGTTATCAAGTCCAACCACCATCATAACACTACAAGACCACTGCTAAATCACATCTCTAAGCACGACATCCATGCATCTCATAAATATCCCCAGGGATGGGGACTCCACTGCCTCCCTGTGCATCCTGTTCCAATTTCTGACAGCTCATTCCATGAAGAAATTCTTCCTCATATCCAATCTGAACCTCCCCAGGCACAACTTGAGGCTGTTTCTTCCTTTAAAGTGCTGTGGATTTGGGGCTTGTTGTGCTCATTCTTGGAAGGCCCAGCAGTGTGCACAGGCTAAGGGTCCTGACTGATTGCACAGGAGAAAAATGGAAATATAAGCTCCAAAACGTCCCTTAGCAGCACCACAATCACATAATCAAGGCCAGCTCAGCTTGATGTGATTTGTTTCATTATGAAACATAATTCTCCCTGGAATTTTAGTTCTTGTCTGCCCTCCACCCCCAGCTACCAGTAGAAATTAATGCTGGGGGAGGGAGATACAAGTGGAAAGGGGACCCAAACATTTGAATGCTGCTTTCACACATGCTGAGTGCCCTTTGAAGAAGGAATGCTGAATCAGTGGGGCGTGCCCCACGTTCTGCAGGCAGAAACCCCACGGACGTGCTTGTGCATAGAAGCAGAGCCAACACCAGCTGCTGGTAGAGGGCTGCCAAGGTGGGGGAATCAAGGGAGGTGATTTATTCCCCCCAAGGGTTTGGCCTCTGGCCTTACAATCCCTACTTCAGGTTTGCTGGAATTTGGTGGGAGAGGTGTCCTGCTCTTGCTGACATTTGCTTTTGAGGTGTGTCCATACAAAAAAAAAAAAATAAAATAAAATAAAATTAAAGATGTAACTCTCTGTTGAAAATTACTTATTTGAGAAAGTGTGTTTGGTTTTAAAGCAGTTTGTTGGCTTTTTACTTTGCTGGCTTTTACACTGCGGGGCAGTCAGTGCTTGCTGGTCTCCTCTGCACAACTCAGTCCCACCCTGACACCCCAATAATTCAGGGCTTCTGTCAATGGGTGCTGACCTGAGCACCCACTCTGTTTCCCACACACTTTTCATCTCCTTGTTTCAGTTTTACTTCTCTGTATGGTTCTGTATTTATCTCTAAACTAACATCTCTCTGCCCCTGGTGAAAATTGCAGGAGCTTTCAGCACACAGCAAAGGAAGCGATTCTATCAGAGGAGCAGGGGGAGCTTGCCCGAGCAGCCCTGTGTGCACAGTGGAGCAGTTCCCAGGCATTCCCACTCCTCCCTTCTCTCTTCTTTCTGTGCTTTTATCTCCAGACAAATGACTGATGCATCTCAGGCCTTCCCTTGGCAGCTGCTCATCACACAGCATCGAGGTGACAGATACCTATGGTCAGTAACATGGAATTTTTCATCTAACTTTATTCCCACAGTTCACTTCTTGCAGCCACCCTCACTTCAGGGCAGCAAAAGGAGCTGTCTGATCAAATACAAACTCTCTGACCAAGGGGCTACCAGAGCCAATGACAGTCCCAGCCAAGCAAACTGACAGCCAGAGGGTGGGAGATTGGGTTGAGCGCAAGCACCCATCCCACCAATCGTCTGTTTCCAAAGAGCCGAAGGGCACTGGAGTTGTCATGGTTCACTAAGTAGTTAAAGGAGTATAATTATTAACCTGCTGAGGACAGTCTTTCTTTTGTTAGATTCTTTATCAAGTTATCTTGCTAACATAACCGGAGAGAATCCAGGTGAGAGGAAGCAGTGCCCTGCATAGATTTGTCTGTCCTCACGGAACCACAGCCATGACCAGCATGGGACACGGTAGCATAAAGTGCATACTCCATACAGAGGACGTGCAGACACACGTGATGGACTGCTGACCTCAAACTCCCCAGCAACAGTGTCCAGACCTCCAAAGGTACACTTCCTATAGGAAACCTGAGACAAACCAGCATGTTTGTGGGTACCACTTACCATACAGGTCCTTTGCACTCAGCTTGGAGGCTCCGTCCGCTTTGCCCATGCTGCCACTGCAAAAGAAGGAAGGCACGAATCAGCATCAGCAGTGCAACCCCACAGCAATCATGAGGGAAACCAGCCCTGCTCTCATCGTCACATCCACTGAAGGTGCTGCCAGGCGAAGAGTTCTGCAGCTCCCTCTGCAACCCTAGCTGTTATCCACACCACGGGCCCGTGTCACCAAACCCAATGGCTGCAAAGAAGAGCAGGGCAGCCCATCCAGGCCTGTTACTGGTAGAGTTACCATTGCTCACGGTCTCCCTGGGAGCACATCACTTCTGGAAGGGCTGTGTTGAGAATGGTGCTCCCAATGAGTTGGTATGGGAAGGAGGCCAGGGAAAAGGAGGCTGATCCTTAGAACTGAGTCCACCTGAACCCAAGCACCAAGGCTCAGAGCTCTTGTTCTTGGACACTTTTTAAACCTACTTCTTTAAAGCAAGCCCATAAGTACAACCCATGTCCCATGTGCAATTGTGGGAGGATGTAATTCTGTGTAAAACAGTTGAATTTTGGGGGTGTCAAGCCTCCAGGCATAGGTTACATCCCCTGTAAGGCCTGTCTCCACATCCCACATGGTGATAACATGTGAGGATCCAAGGAAAGGTGAAACAAACTCTGTGCACTTAGGGGGAAAGATGGGACCACAAGGAGCCTCCCCCTGGGCACTGGGAAGGAGTGCTGCCCATAGGATGGAGGGAGCCCGCCACACAGATCCTTACTTTGTTGAGCCAGTGCTGCTGCTGACGGATCCTTTGAGACTCATGTTGCTTCACAGGATGGGCAGCTTCAACAGAAGCAGAGGAGACAAAGTTAGAAGTTAGAAAACAGCCTTCACACTCTCAGGTGATTTACTGGTGCATATGATGCCTTGACTCTGATTCAGGGTTCCCAAGCAAGTGAGAGCAGCACAGTGGGGTTTTCTGGCCGTTCGCTGCCCCATGGCTCTGACCTGGGCTGAGATGAAGATGACATAACATTCCTGAAGCCTATTTCCACCTCTCCTCTCTTACCCATCCCCTCCAGGCACTCCCAGAGTTGGTGGTGTTCCATTTTCTACCAAAGCAGCCTTGCCTATGGCTCTGCACAGACTTGATGAGGCCTTATTACTGTGATGGCTGGCTGCTTGGGAAGGGGCAGGCAGGCTTAGTTCAGAGAGATTTTGCCTCTTTTGCAATAAGAATTTTCAATAAAAGTGCTTGAGAGAGATGCAGGCACTGCTCTGAGGGCAGAACTAGAAGGGGAAAAAGGCACGGAAAATGAGGTATAATAAAAAAACTCAGGACATTTCATATTGGGATCCAAGTTATTGACCTTAGCTCCATTGCACAGTTTGAAGGAAAAGCAAGAAAAAGTCTTCAATTTAATTTAAGAACATCGGAGGCACTTGTGTTGAAGGATGGGCACTCAGACCCTTTTTTTTCATTCACATGGATCAGACCCCACTCACTCACTCACTCATTCTAGGGTTGTCAGAACACACAGAGTTATAGAATCACAGAATAGTAGAATGGCTTGGATTGCAAGGGACCTTAAAGATCATAGAATAGTTGGGTTGGAAGGGTCCTTAAAGATCACATAACCATAGAATGGTTGGGTTGGAAGTCACCTAAAGAACATCGAACAACAGCGTGGTTGGGTTGTACTGGACTTTCCCAGCCCCAACACCTGCCATGGGCTGGTTGCTACCCACCAGGTCAGGTAGCCCAAAGCCCCACTCAGCCAGGCCTTGCGCACCTCCAGAGATGACAATTTCTCTGAGCAACCAATTCAAATGGCTTAAAAACACTCATCGTTTATCCAAAGGAAGGTTTCACTCAGTGTCTTCAGTGAGAGCTCCCACAGTGGGACCTTTGAAGGAGGGTGGCACGTTCTGTGAAGCTGCGTGAGCTGCCCTGTGATTTTTTTCTTAATTGAACTAAGGTTGTATGCAATTCCTGGGGAATACTTCAGAGTCATCCCTGACGTCTGGGATTTCCCCACTGGAGGCTGCCTGTGTGCTGCAGGGCTTGTTGTATCATCGGTAGGGCTGCCCTGGCTTCCTCACATATCCGGTTTTATTCCTGGTGTTGGAAGTGCTCACTTGCAGTATTTTGCTCTGTGCATTTTACCCTGAGGTCAGGGCAGATATGCAGCTTTCTCGCTGCATGAGTGCCAGAGAGATGTGTTTTGTGGCAAGACATGCTCTCTCTTTGGGGCCCCTGTCATGTTTTGGGCTCAGCCTTACAGCTTCCAGCCTGCCTTGTATCAGAGCAACACTCCTCAGTGCTGAGGCACCGGCAGGAATTGCTTCCAAGCACATTAAATTCCCCATCTTCATTTGTTTTGGTGGACACAAAAGTTCCCCTTCCCTCTCCCCCCCTCCCCACATGTGCATGTGGATATTAATTCAAACAGATGTTAGAATCGATACTTGGTGTTCTGCCAGCCTCTCTGTGCGTAATGAAACCTGTCCCTGCTCCCAGGCTTGGGTACCTGTGAATTTTTCCTCTGTTAATAGCTGTCTGCTGGTTTCCTCTTACAGTCCTCAAATGGTTCCTATCTCTCAAATCTCTCTGTACATTAGCATGAGATACCTAGAAAAGGGAACGTGCTCTAATAAACTCAGCTCTCTTCTGTTTACTTGTCTGAGCACTTTAGTCCCATGGCTGACGACGAGAGCTGGGAGTGTTTCTGCTTATTAATGTAATATTTCTGGCTCCCTTTCACTTACTGCCCCAGGGCCATGTCCTTAATGGACTGAAATCCAGGTTACTCCAGCATGCAAGGGTTGCTGAATTTGGCTGGTGGAGTTCAGAGCTTCCTCCCAGGCCTCAGAGAGGAAAAAACAACAGGAACAAAGGATGCCAGGCAGAAGATGAAATGCATCAGCACTGCTGATTTCAGCAAGAGGCCGATTGCATATTGCTCCTTTGGACACACAAAGTGATCCTTGCTTCATCTTCATGGTCATAACACATTCAACTCCAATGGATCCTTCTCTTTGCCATCACTGTTGAAAGGCTGCCCTCAGTTCCAGGGTGTCTGCATCCCAGCTGGGGCACAAAACAAAGCCAGCAGGTCCTTACACCGATGAGCTCCCTGCTTTTTACTTATTAGTGCTATTTTCAGTATTTAACCTTTGCCAGGTTCTTACTGGTGCTGGGAGGACCACGTTCAAACTTGTCTTAATTGAAAAGAGAGCGTGGTGTGAGGATGGCCAAGTCAAGCTGGTACACAGCCTCACACCACCTCTTTTAATTCCATTTAAATTGTCTGATATTAATTGAATCCTGGCTGGCAGACTGGGGGAGGACACTCTTCTGAGGGGTTGGAGCCTTTCTAATTACTCTGTGAAACTGAGAGACAGCCAGACTTCAGTAAGAGGAAGAAAGAGCTGAGAGAGCTTCACCTTTTGAAGAGCACTGGCAGTCTGCAATTTCAGATGTGCCCATCCAATCTGGCTTTGATGATGTCCCTCCTTTCTATCATATCAACTATGCCACTCAGCTTGGTGTCTCCTGCAAACTTGCTGAGGGTACACTCAATCCCACTGTCACTGACAAAGATATTGAAGAGCACTGGTCCCAGAATGGACCCTAGGGAGCACCACTTGTGACTGACCCCCATCTGGACATACAGCTGTTGATAACAACCCTCCAGCTACAGCCAACCAACCAATTATTTACCCACTGAACAGCCCAGCCTTTAACTCCATCTCTCTCCAACTTAGAGATACGGATGTTGTGTGGGACCATGTCAAAGGTCTTGCACAAGTACAGGTAGATGACATAAGTTGTCTTCTTTTGTCCACCAATGCCATCATACTTCCTCATCGAAGGCCGCCAGATTGGTCAGGCACGATCTGCTCTTGGTGACGCCGTGCTGGCTGTCATGGATCACCTCCTCATCTCTCATGTGCCTTACCATCTCTTCCAGGATGATCCACTTCATGACTTTCCCAGGCACAGAGATGAGGCTCACTGGCCTGTAGTTCCCTGGGTCTTCCTTTCTGCCTTTCTTGAAAATGGGAGTGATTTTTCCCCTTTTTCCACTCACCGGGGACAGTGACACCTATGACTTTTCAGATATGATGGAGAGTGGCTCACCAACCACATCAGCCAGCTCCTTCAGGACCCTGGGATGCATCACCATTCATCCATCTTCACCATACCCTCTAACCCATGTCCATAAATAGAATCCTGGAGTTACTAAGGTTGAAAAAGATCTCTAAGATCATCAGGTCTGACCATCAGCACATCACTGCCATGCCCACTAAACCACACCCTTCAGTGCCACTTTACACGCTTCCTATATACCTCCAGGGATGGTGACTCCACCTCTTTCCTGAAGCAACACTGAGGGTGAAGTATCATGCTTTGAAGCAAAGGAAGTCTCCCTCCCTGACTTTCCGGACATCCTTGAAGGTCAAATATCCTCCCAAAGACGCACGCAGAGTCATGACAGGAGCCTGTCATTGTTGTCTGTGCTACACTTCTGTACATTCCTAGTAAATGGAAGAGAGCCATGCATTGTTTTGGCTTTCTCCGAGTCTTTGAAGAGGGAGATGCAAGAGTGGAAAAGCTGTAAGGGAAAAAATAGCCACTCTCTTCTGTGTGGTCCGATTGCTTTGATTGCCATTCATCCTTTTCATCAGCAATTCTTTCCGTTCATCTGCTGTGATCATACATTATTTTTGTTCTCAAGCAAACGGAAAGGAGTTGTGCGAAATTCTGAACTCTGGGTGAAGACTGGATAACTCAAAAAACTGGAAATACCCGTGTATCAGTAATCAATGTGTAACCAAAAAGGAGTCATATATGTTTGATATCCATAGCCTAAAGCCATTGGGACTGCAAAGGGTCCTCTCACATCCCATCAAGCCAACCTAAAGGCAGTGGTGGTGAGAATGGCTATACTCTGGCAGCAGTGAAAAATATGTGATGGAGAGGCTGCCCCAGGGTCCTGCCAGGGCCATGGAGCACAGATCCATGGAGACAACTGGATACGCCAGGCAGAAATGCTAGATTAGCAAAAGCCTCAGAAAGTAACATAAAGCCTGGCTTTGAAACATTAGCTGTGTGCCCACACGATGTTATCTTTTAAACTTCCCAGGACAACAAAGCACCGTCTGTTAGGGTTGCTGGGTGTTTTTGCAAGGGAACGTCACACTGACAAAAGCTGTCTGATGGACTGTCCTGCAGAGCTCAGCCCTCTTGTACGCACCAGATCAGGGGGAGGACAGGCACCATGATACACGTATCCTGCCCTGCTTGGCTTGTCCACAAAACAGGCAGCCTCTGAGGGTATCCTTCCAGCTCCCTCCATACCAGCAGAGGATTGAAAGATACTAACAGATAGAAAACGCTGTACCCCACATGGGTCCTCTAACAAAACATCTTTGTGCTGTTGGCTCTGTGCACACCTGACAGCCTTCTCTTGCCTTTAAATGCCTTACTGGCCCTGCCAGTAAGGATGCCTCTTGTCAGGGCTCACTGAAAGGAATTCAAACCTGCTTGGTGGGGGTCTCTTCTGAGTGCACACACTCCTAACAAAACCAGTGTTTGTGCTAGCCAGATAGCATCTTTCAAACCAAGCCTTGAAAGTCATAGTGGTTCAGTGAACTCCACAGTCTTAACCTGGTTGAAAAGGGGAAAACACCCAATTGATACGGGATGGCCTGGTGGGATTCATCTCCGGGGGTCCTCCATTCCCATCCCATGTGCTCTCTGAGATGCTTTAAAAAGCATCTCAAGTCTTGTTGCCCCTTTCTTCCTCCCTCCCACCTTTCAGTTTATCTTCATAGCA